CACCATAAAACTCTTATAACCTGTAGGTGCATTCTGTTACCTTGAAAGGGTTGCTATAAATAGACATTTGTCAACTGTTATTTCCAGTAGTTTAAGCTGGAAATAGCCTACTGCTGCTTTGGAACAAGGCTAAACTTCTGTTTTCAGATGACATTTTAATTCATTTACACAAGGTGTAACATTGATTAAACTCCCATTATTCAGGAGTTCTTTGATTCAGACCCTGATGATGATTTAAAAGGCTTTACTCAGATGGATATCAATGGTAAAGTGGTTGGAGATAGAGATTATAACCACACTACTGACAGGGAGGAAAGCTATGATGAACATGATTTATGGAAAGGCTATCAGGTATATCCATGGCTCCATGGATATACCTGATAGCCTTTCTGAAAGTGAATTATTTTGTCTATTTACAAATGATGACATAACTTTATCTGTCAATGAGACAAATAAATATGCTAGTCAAGTGAAAGAAAGCAAACAAATGCTGGTGTCTACTCGTAAACACATGGAAGGATATCACTTTTGATGAAAGGAAGGGATTCTTAGCCATTTTGCTTTTTATTGCACCCCAGAACTCCACAAGGAGTAATAAAAGTTAAAGTATGTTAAAATGTTAATGTATTTGTTTTTTATTTTTTTGCTTCAATTTCTTTTTTTGTTTTCAATGTCAAAAAATGTATGCAAAACAATGTATTACATCAAAATATTATTCATCCATTCTTTTATTAGTATACAAAAAATAAAATCTATACACACAAAGTTATAACAATTTTAAAACAGTAGGTGTTCATGTTTTTGTACCCTCAAAAATAGAAAGAATTTGGTAGGGTAAAGGTTAAAAATGAATATTTTTTTTTGTTTTTTGTAACCAGAAACGGTTATTTTTCAACCTGTTTGTCAATTACTGATCCCATCCTGCCTTATTCTCCCCACCCCAGGATGTGGTTGTGGTTGTGGTAGAGAGGGATGAAGAAGTAGTAGACTTGATATCAAATTCATTTGAGAAAATGTGGAAAAATTTATTGCAATTTTAATGTCATTATTTTTGGCTACTGTTAATTTGCACTTACTGTCCATATTTGACATCTGTCATTGACATTGAATATTACAATATTATGGAGTTAGCTTAAGTATAAGTACTGTTAATCTGAGCAAACATTAGCCTACTAGATATATTAACTTAATACCTAAGAGCGGGGAGATCTTTTTGGATCATTGGGTAGTGGAGGCACGGGGAAAGATATATGCCACATCAAATACTGTATATTGGTAATTGCATATTTTCAAATTTGAAAGTTAAAAAAAAAATTGTTTAACATTATTTTTAAAATATATCTTCCTGGTGTCAGTTTAAACTGACACCTTTATTTCTCATACTCACCAAATTACCTGTACCTTGCTGCATGTCTCATTTCTTTTTTTTTTTAAGAAAATGATTGATTTCAAATCCTTGTTATAATTTGTGGAGAAAAATGATGCATTTCAATATTACTCAATGATTTTGCTGATGTGACCTCCATCTTCTGGTTTTCTCCCATATTTTGAATAGGAGTCATTCCCTTGCTCAAATTTAAATTTAATTTAATCAAAGGGGGAAAAAAATTTCAGTGTAGGGTTTTTGCTGTCGATGGCTGTGCTAGCACAAAATCACAAGTCATTGTGAGCGAGGGTTTGAGCACACTAGCTTTGTTCAATCATGCTACATTATGTGCTCTCTCCCAGAAACTGTAATTAAGGTCAGCTCAGCATTGTTGAACTATAAACCACAAGTGGGCACTGCAGGTGTTGAACAAGCACAAATGTGCCTGAGCAAGCGTTTGCAATGGGGATTAGCTAGTCACCCTAGTAGAGGGGCATCCTTGGATGTGTGTGTGTGTGTGTGTGTGTGTGTGTGTGTGTGTGTGTGTGTGTGTGTGAGACAAACGTTCTGCCTCTTTTTTCTTTCAAATTATAAGAATATTATTTATAATATAGTTCAGAATTGGCACCTATGTTCATCCCAATGAAAGAACACATTCAATGTATCTTGTTCTACAAGTTTCATAAAGATGTCAATGCAAGTGGCCGAGATGCCAGGCCAAGACCAATGACATTGCAGATTCTTCCTAGTCTATCATATTTGGATATGATATTCAATGTGAATTTCCTTACATTTATTCCCTACAACTCCTGACTGATGAATATACTTTTTGTCTATATGTTAAAATATAAACGATTTGCACAATTCCCAAGTGATCACTGTTCCTACCCACCCATTTTCATACTTTGTCAGCTACTTTTCTACATTGATTCATATGATTTACTTTCAACTTTGGGATATATTTCATTAGAGTCCCTTCTACCAAAAGCTAATGTCCAAAATTTTAAAGGATGGAAGCCTAAAAAAAAAAATAAAAGACCAAGATATATTTTCTTTTTGAAAATGCTGGTGTATCTTTTGTCTCCATAGCAAAAATAAAATGAAAAAAACCTTAACACTGGAAAGAGAACAAACAAAATCAACTTAAAGAATCAATTCCACATTTGGTTAAAAAAATTTGAAAAAGTGTGGATTAACAAAAAAAAAAAAAAAAAATTTTCTGTTTTGTGTTATATATATATTTTTTTTTTCTTAATTCAACTTTGGGAAGAGCTGTAGAAATCTGACAACTGATTTAGAACCTGACTATAAACATTCAGGAGAAAGGTTGAAATGTTTTGTTTTTGTTATATTAAACAGACTTTCTTTTTGGCAAGAAAAAGAAAATACAAATTAATTTGCCAATTTCTTTTTTTTTTTTTTTCCAGGAATCTGTACTTTAGATATAGTTGTTGTTGGTGACTAACACAAAAGTACTAGCTTTCTACCAACACAGGCAATATTTTAATATTTTAACAAATGGTGACTGAGAAAATCGGTCCCCTCCCCAATTTAAGTGTCAAGTTTATAAAAAGTCAGACAGCATAAGTTCAATAACAGGAGGCATGAGATATACCAAACCACTATTCCCAAGTAAATTACACAAATATTTTACTTGGATTAATAGTCTTAATATTTTGGAGGAAAAATGATTTTCAAGTAAGTTTCATCTAATAATGATGATATTCTGAGAATTGTGATAAGAAAACAACTCAAATTAAGTAATACTTGAAGAATTAATAATCTTAGATTGCCTTAAATTTTGAGAAAGTATTTTTTTCCATTATTCTATGTCCCCCTCCCCCAAAGCTAATATCTTTCTATAACATCTCAAATTGTTCAACTTGCTTCAGGTAAATTTGGTCTTTCATCTTGTCAGCAAATTATGCCTCTATTGAAGTAATAAAAGAAAAATCTACAAAACATCTAAAAGATGAACCGATTCAAATATATCCAACAATGACCACAATTCAAAATGTTAAATATTAAAAAATTAAAACAATCATAAGATTGTTTACATTAAAGAAATACACAGATACAAAAGGGACACACAATATTTCAGGTCTTATTTCAATGTTTTGCAATTATGCCACTGTTTATAAACATTTTAAAACAAATAAGTTTGTTAAATATGTAGCAGTGCTTCACTTCAGTCCCCCCCCACCAATTCCTTCTACAGTACCTCCAATATTACTAGCAATCCTTTTGTTCTATTTTTTTGAGGGGGGGGGGTGAGGTAATTCTTCAGGTTCAGTAAAAAGGGGGAATGAGAGTTAAGATTTGCATAAAATAAGTAAAAATAAATCATACCTTACAAAATTCCAGCAACAAGTAAGCTGCTAGTTTGTGAAAGACTCCCATGTGGGTGCTTCCCTGAACAGTATAAGCTTGACCTATATAAGTCAAGGGCCAAATCATTATTTATTCTTCACTCCCTATCACACAAGCTTAATCATCACAACCAATAACTATCTTGGCAGCTCTCAAGCCTTGTATAGTGTGAACTTTAGTGTTAGAAAATAAAATAAAAAGTAATGAGTCCCAAGAACACACACACATATATATATATATATATATATATATATATATATATATATATATATATATATAAGTGAACATAGGAGGCAACAGTTTGTTTCATGCTATATATATATATATATATATGGGAAGAAGAGAGTGTTGGGTGGATAACGTTGTGGGCAAGCGACACTAAGACAGAATGTATCGGCTCCTTTCCTTTACTAGGATTACTGTGAAGAATGTTTTACCTTGAAACTTTTCTTTTTGATGCCTTGGGTAATGATTAACGTGTTCAATCTTAGCTAAGTGTCCCATACTTATTTCCTTGTGTCAAAACTAAGCTATACATGGGAAATGATCATGATGATAATAATGATCATGATAAAAAAATAAATTTTTTATGTTTGGTTAAAGGGAATTTTTTTTTTTCCCCAACCTAGCTTACAACACAACTTTTGTTTTCAGGTTTGTTTTTGTAGGTATTTTTTTTTTTTTTATTATTATTATCATCATCATTTTTTTTTTCTTCTTTTTTATGAGTTCACAGGAGATTGTAAAAAGTCAATTTATGTAGTGAGATCAAAAGAAGCTTGGGCTTTGAGGCAAAAGCAGTGTAGGTGGGTGATTTGGGGTGGTTTGGTCAAAGATACCCCAATAGGAAGGAACAGGGTTATCAGTCGGTTGGCCAGCTCAAGCTCATTGGCTGACTAACAAGTCAAACACCAGATATCTCCTCTTCATTATTCGTTTGTTCTCTCTCTCATGTTCTGTCTGAAGCTGGTCTTAATAGTGACAGTAAAAGTGGTTGTCACTTAGAGCCAGGTCAGGTGACCCATTCTTTTATGTTGCTTCTGTTGCTTGAGAATGCGGGTTCTGGCTTACTAAGTGACCACAGCTGCCCATCAGGTAAGCAAAATTGCTAACAATAGCATCTTTCGATAAGAAACAAATAAAATAGATTCTTTTTTTTTTTTTTTTTTTTACGAAAACAGGTTCACCTTTTGTTGTTATACTTGAAAGTTACAAGTTTAACAAAGCAGAAACAAGAGATGGAAAAATGGTGACTTTTTCTCTCTTAAAGAGAGAGGAGAGAGAGAGAGGAGAGAGAGAGAGGGGAGAGAGAGAGAGGGGAGAGAGAGAGGGGAGAGAGAGAGAGGTGAGAGAGAGAGAGGAGTGAGAGAGAGAGAGGAGTGAGAGAGAAAGAGGAGTGAGAGTGAGAGAGGAGTGAGAGTGAGAGAGGAGTGAGAGTGAGAGAGGAGTGAGAGAGAGGAGGAGAGAGTGAGAGGAGGAGAGAGGAGAGAGAGAGGAGAGTGAGGAGAGGAGGAGAGAGGAGGAGAGAGGAGAGAGTGAGAGGAGAGGAGGAGAGGAGAGGAGGAGAGGAGGAGAGGAGGAGAGGAGAGAGGAGGAGAGGAGAGAGGAGAGGAGAGGAGAGTGAGAGAGGAGAAAAAAAAAAAAAAACGTCTGTATTTAAAAAGTAAATAAAAATAGGCTTGCAGGTGTGTCCTAGCGTTTTTGTTTGCAAATATCAACAATTGAGAGGTGGGGATCTGTCTGTCTTCGTTTAACTAAAAATACAGCTAAAAACTGTAACTATCACCAAATTCCCTGTAGGTACGAATAGTAATGTAACTAATGAAACACTGGAGCATTTTTTTTTTTTTTTTTTTAATTCATTTTTTAAAATTCTCAAACCTTTTTTCATGTTTTTTTGCGGATGACTTGATTTACAATGCATAATGGTTCGCTCTCTTGTACAGGCTTTGTTTGAGCAGAGAAGTGAGGTAAATTAATATTATGCACTAGATCCCTAAGAGCTCGTCTCACCAAGCAATATCTCATTTACGGTAAGGGGGGGGGCAGTTTCATTAAAAGAGGAAGTGCTGGTAAGCCTTGAGCAATTTTTGTACCTAAGCGCCGGTTACCAACCCACTTTAAACTCGACCTTGTGTCACATTCCACTCGAGTGGTTAAATACCTACTTTTTATCTGTCAGGTCAACTAAACCAAGTCTAACTTTTTGTTTAAGGTTATGAAGTAGTCAAAGTTGTGACCTTTTCCTATTACTTGTTTCTCTAGTCACCAGAATCTCCAAATCAGCTACCAGTTTGGCCAGACAAGTTTTCACAAAAAGCTGGAGAAAACTTCCAAGCTAGGCCTGGATTTATTGTTAATTTGATTACTTTTTAAATTTCTCTCCCAGTTACCTAAATTAAATATGATCCAAGAGTTCATGAATTTTAAATATGGTATGATTTTTAAACCCATGATCTCATGCTGACATCAATGGCTCTATTCAAGCTTTCTGTATTAAATTTAAAAAAAATAAAATAAAATAAAATAAAAATAAAAAAATTATATATATTTCTGGTAAGAGTGATTTCCCCACCTTCCCCTGTTTTGTAAAATTAACAGTTTACTGGCCAAATAATAATGATGATGATAATAATAAAAACTTTCAAATTATGATAATAAAATGAACTTGTTAATACAGAGAAATTCTTAAACAAAAAACTAAAGATTAAAAATAGATCTACTTAAGCCTTTCAAGTCTACATTCATGTAATTTATGTATATAGCAAAAATATTGTTTGTTGTTTCAGTAGACATATCTAAATGACTGACTTAGAAAAATAATATTATTGAATGTCTTATTATAAATATAGCAATAGGAAACTATGTCCACTTTATCCCATATCAATGCATTTTGGGGACAATTATGTCTCACAAGGACATGTAGAAAACATCTGTGGGTAACGTATATCCCAGGGGAATTGAAAAAGTTAAAGGAAACAATTGTTTATGTTTTGATTAATTATTTCAAATTTTATTTTGAGTTTTGTCACAAGATCAAAATCAAACTTACAACTGCAATAAAAGTAAATAAAAAAAAAAATATATTAAAAGGAACATTGCATGCAAAAACATTTGATTCTTGCAATTTCAGTGCATTGGAAGGGAAATCCTAAACAGCAAGCAGAGTTATCTCTTAAAATCTGTAACCACTTTTCTGATCAAGTTTGGCACAAGGTAACAACAATTTGTATCCCTTTATCCAATTATAACAATTGGAGGAATACTGAAAAACACTTTACTGTAGACAGATTTTATTTTCATGGATGAGTTATTTTGTATGAATGGTTTATACTTAATTCAATACAACAATGTGTGATCAACTGTCAAGGTTGAAAACAGACTGAGGATTTCTTTTGCAGTCGCTACTATATATATATATATATATATATATATATGGTATGGGAGAGTAGTTTCTTAAGTGTTAACTCATTCATCTATACAACTTCATCAACAATTATGGCATGCCAGTTACAAGGCATTTTGCAAGGTGTTTTAATGATGGAACAGAGCACAGGCACAAGTGGATTCATGCCTTTCCCAACAATATTAGTTCAATGTCAAAACATGTAACTGCGTGCTAATCGGTGAGCATAAGATTTTATTTAATGAGGTTTCAACTCTTCTGTGTTACACCTACTGAGTTTTACTCTGCCATTTAACCCCCCCTCCCCATCATTTTTAAATGTTCAAATAGTTGAAAAGTCTCAATTTTGATGTTTTGGTTATATTCACAATTTAGATTTAGGAAATCAAAGTGTTTTACAAGATTAAAAGAAAAGTGTGTGCGCGTGTGTGTATAGATGAGACTAAGTGGAAAAGCTTATAGGCAGTACATTTCAATGAACATGAATGACGTGTGTTAGGCTCAGTTTCTCCAGGTCAGAATGAAAGCCAATGCAGTGGGATATTTGAAAATAAGAGGTCAATAAATTAAATTACCTTATCTAATCCAACAGGCCAGAATGTGTGTGTTTGGGATTTTAAAAACAACATTTCAGAAAGCCTAATCTGGTAGGCCATTACATTTTCAAACTATCATTTAAGATTTGAATGAATGGATGGAGGGAGGGAGACAGAGAATATAAAATTCAGTGTAACTTTAAAATTCAAACAGCTTTGCCCTTTCCAGGCCACAAGACCATTTCTAAAAACAAAAACAAAAAGGGAAAACCTGTAAAAGAGTTAATATCTGCTGTTATTGTAGATCATAAAGTTAGGAGAGAAATATCGATACATTGCCAGTAAAATAAATAAGATAACACTTCAGTCTCCATATAAAACAAAGCCTTGCAAAGAATTTACAGGAAACCCAGGGGGAAAGAGAATTATCAAAATGGCATTATCATTGAAACTAGCAAGATTATTAAAAACATTTGTTGTCACTTGATATCTGAAAAAGGAAAAAGGAAAAAAAAAAAAAAAAAAAAAAACTAATACAAAAATTCAGCAAGTCTCTCTCTCTCTCTCAAAGAGAAAGATAAGTACAGAAAGAATTCAAATACTTATCAAATATTGTAATGAAAATAATGATTACTGTAAGCTGGCTCTGTTTTTTAACGATAAAACTTATTAACACAAGATATTAAAATTGTAGGAGAAAAAAAAAAAAAATTATTAAAATAGTGGAATTGTGTAAAAATTAATATAGAAACTATTTTAATAATAATAAAAAAAATTTCAAAATTGCATGAAAAACAAAACGTGGAAAAACCAATATGAAATTAATTGAAACTGAACCTTTTATTTTTTTATTTAGTTTACAAGATTTGTCAGCACCCACTAGCATTCTGAGCATCAGGGATTGTCACCCCCCCCCCATCCTGGTAGTGGTGGTGATGGCAGAGATGGCTGTGAATAAAAGAGTTTGACTAGACCGTTTGTTACAACAATCAATAAATAAGAAAAGGGGTAGATTGTCCATGTTCGGCTATCCATGTCTAGAGTAATGTTATCAGTTCTTGCTCGTCCTGTTGCCACCAAATCTAAATCTGCACTACCTCGCCCAGGGATTGAACTCAGAATTACTATTTCACCAAATTCACAAATCCACAAGACTATTGTGCTATGACTATTCTAAATGTAGAACTTTGAGTATCAAATCTAACATTGCTGCCACTAATTGGACTTTTCTTACATTAATTAGTATTAATTCTTGACCACTGACAATTCTTATCTAATTTTCAAAGCCTTCCAATTAATAATAATATGTTTACAATAAATCTATAAGTAACGTTTAATTTCCTTCTTGCTCTTTTTTTAATGTATTTCTATAGTAAAAGTAATAATTTATATTAAAAGGTGATAAGATATAGGTGCGCTTTTTTTTTTTTTTTTTTTTTTTTTTTTTCCTTTTTTGGTTTTATTACAATGATATCATCCTGTAAAAGGGCCCAAGAGATTTACAGAATAAGAGGCACCAATCCAACCGAGGAGATAATGCCACCAAGTTACAAGTATCCACATGAAGTGAAAGAGAAGGAAAAAGCTTTGGAAGAAACCAGAAAACAAGGGATAAGTCTGTACAAAAGGACTGAGTAGCTCAGAATAAGAAAGCTTAGTTTGAATACCAGTTAAGTTTGTTATATTTATTTACATATAAATACCCTTTATGAAAGATAATGAATCCAGCTCTTCTCCCCACCAGTTATGGATTAAATAGGACTTTTATGTGGAAAAAAACAAAAAAAAACATTATCTCCAAAAGATTGTTAATGTAATATTTATTAAAAAAAGAAAGTCTTAAAAAAAAAAAAAAAATAATAAATATTTCTAGGTGGAATTCACAGTGCAGGGGGGGGGGGCAGAGATGAAGTCTGAAAGCTTACTATCCTAATAAAAATTACTTGTTTAATTGCATAAAGTCATAACATTTGTCACTGTGGTTTTTAATGCACTGATAGAAAAAGAAAAATCCTTTTAACAAGAACATCTGACTTAATTACCACACCTGGCTGACAAAATTACCTGAAAAACTATAATTCAAACTGAAATTCAGGAATTTTTGTCTGTCTATTTTGTCAAATATTAAAAACAAAGCAACCATAATGTTTATAAAAACAAAAAGAAAAAAAAAAAAAAAAAAAATTCCATGTAGAAATATAAGAAGGTAGTGAAAAATCTGTGGACCAACTAAGGAGTTGGTTAAGAAAAAACCATTCATTTAGTCTGTTGTTTACAGACATGGCATTGGATTGAGAAATTCTGAATACCCATCATAAACAAATAGAATTCCTCCTCAGTTGACACCCATCAATGACTAAACAGACAATCCTTTTTTTTTTAATTTGGCACATGAGCACAAGTATGGAGGACCCAATGAGGATCAAGCTAAATAGTCAACCAGACTAGCTTGTTAAAAGTTATCCTTCTTCTAGATTGGTTGCCAAATAAAGCTAGAGAACCCAAGCTGGTAGGAGAAGAAATTGATTCCTATCTTTCCAAGTGTATATGTGCTAAAGTCTCATGACACTGCTATTGTAGTTTTTGCATCAAGTAGGCTTTTATGGTCCAGAGTTGCTAGATGCACATGCAATCTGTTTTAAATACAGAGTTATCCTTCTCCTAGATCCCAGTTTACCAAACTACTAACCGGGCTAGCTTGCTTAATC